ATAATTTTATCATCAACATTGGTCTCTTTTTTTTTAATTTATGAAGTTTTCTTTTTTTTTCTGCAGCCCCTTTGGCAAATAATTTGCACATCATATAATTCAACAGTTTTATAATTTAATCATAACATAGAGAATTGTATAATTTATTATTATGTTTACCTAAATATTGTATGCTGCGTAAGATTTGGAAAGGTTACCCAAATACCTAAATAGGATTTCAAAAAATTTACCAAGATATACTCATCTAGTGAATAATTTAATCAAATTCAATAAAGTTGGGAAAACTTCAGGAGACCTCAAATGGTAAATTGGATACCCAAAATTGGGGGATAAAGGCATTACGTGGTTGGCTTACAAACTTTCATAGGTGGGAGAACATATTCACAGGTTTAAAAGATTAATGTATAGGTGTTACTTAGTTGCAATTGTGAGGGTAAAGCATTATATACAGGTGCCAAGTTGGCAAGGGGTGGATTGATATAGTTAAAGTTTATTGTGCCACCCTGGCCGATAAACACGTGGGGTTAATTGAAGGGCAGAAAGATAAATGGCTAGGTGAGCCTCGCATTTCTAGTTCTCAGGTCTCTTGCTTTGTGATGGTCAGACCAGGGTGCAGCTGCCTTAACCAGTTCCCTGCTTCAGCTGGAAGGCTCACTTCCTGCAAGGCATCCCTGAGGAGAAGCCACATGGACCTACCCCCATGCAGCCCTGGGTGCTGGAGCAGCCGTGCGGAGAACCCTACCAGTGCTGAAATGCTTGCAGATTCACTGACTTGGCTTTCCTCCTGCAGTCGGCATCATTGCATGTGTTTTGTGAGATGGAGGAGGACTTTGTGAATTAGAGTCAGACATATGGGCTAATGTTGGGCTTCTGGGCTTGGGCAGCACTGGGTTGGGATATTTTCTTGATGTGCACTTACCCTTTATATAAAAAGCTCTCTTATACATGAGTTTCTGTGGATTTGTTTCCCTAAAGTACTCAGACTAACACAAATGGAAAGTGATAAATGTGAAGTACTACATAAAGCTTTGCTGAGTAGCTGAATGAATGAATGAATGAGGTGATAGGTGAATTAAGTAATATGAGGAAGACAAAGACAAATCAGAGGAAGAGAAACAAAGGCATAATAGTTTATAGACAACTTGTCAAAATACATCCCTATACACTAAAATATGATTTTAATAATTTTAATAACTCAGACATTGAGTTGTTTACTGCTGCATTTGTGAATTTGGCATCCATTTGTTTGTCATAGATCAGAGTGCAGATGATGAAGGTTTGAAAGCACCAGAAGAGAATTATTCCAAGCATCAGAATTTTAAACCTGAGTGTAGGTACTTATTTCTTTGATTATAAATGTAGGGAAAAAAGGATTTGACTTTGGAAGTATTTGCTAAGGAATGATCATACACGCAAAAACACAAATTCTAGGAATTGAGCCAGGATCCAATTTCTTCTGTCCCTGGAGTGTTTTATTTAAGGAAACCATTGATTTCTGCCACTATTCTGAAGAAACACATGTGAAAAGGTGGCCAAAAAATCTACCTCTGATTCATTTTTCCAGGATCTCGGCCAAGGGTCGACCAACCTCTTTTGCAACAGCACAAGAGCTGCTTTGCTGATAGTACGCTTTTATACTTTGAGCTCAAATTTTGACTCACATGTTGAAAAAGGAAAGAAAAAACTCCCTGTGACAGATTCTATGAGTCTTAGAAACTTTAGCTTGCTTCTATTTAATATTTAGGAGGAGGAAAAACTACTACAATCAAATGAAGTTTTTCCAAAAGAAAAACTGTCAACAGCTTGCCGTTTGCCTGAGGCTTACTTGAGGGCATTTCCTTATGAGCTACTAAAGTACGATTAAAATCATCCAGCTTCCTGCCATGTGGTTTGAAGAAAACCACAAAATAATTTGCTATTTTTCTTTATTACTGGATAAACATACTTTCAAAATGGGTCCATAAAAATTCTAAACTTCGCATATTAAAATAATGAAGCATATGAATTCCTCCCAGTAAACTAGAACATTTTTCCTTAGTGCCTATGGACCGAACATTGTACTCTCAGAATTGGCATCAGACTCATACATAAACCATCAGAAAGCAATATGACACATGCATAGCATTCCTGATGTTCTTGTCAAGAGGAATCCTGTATTAGGCACGAGAAAAAGTAACATGTGGTGATCGTGAGTCAGTGATGCTCTATCTTTGAACAGTTACACAAATGCAGCTTTAAAAAGGAATTTGTCATTTTTAGGAGAATTATAGAAAGCAGAATTGGAATACAAGGGAAGCTATGTGATCTGTACCACGCATTGTTGCTTCCTTAGAGGCTATTTTAAAGGTACCTAGATATCGTTTTATCCAGTGTGGTAGGACACACAGACTCAGAATGACTTTTATGAAATATGTTCATGTTGCTGACAATTCTCTGGAGAGGACATAGTGCCCTATAAAAGTGGACCATGCAGGGGGCAGCACTGAGGGAGAAGGTAATAGCCAGCTGGAATTGTGGAAGACAGTTTCTGTGTAGTAAACTGGGCAGAGTTAGTTAGGTTCTGTGGAATTGATGAGGATTAGAAATGTTGAAGAGTTCTGGCTACAGATGGCCCCTATTTGTTCAGTATCATCCTGGGCAATTAGGGAAGGTATATAGTTGCCGACGAGTGTGAGTCCCCAGTAAGAGAGAACAGAGGGTGCAGAGTGGCTGTGTTAGTGTGGGTTGACTAGAGAAACCAATCCAGAGACACTCATGTGTGGATAAGAGAGGACTTTCTATCAAAAAACAATTGTCCATTAAGAACACATCCCAGCTCAGTCCAGGTCAAGTCTGTAAGTCTGAGATTAGCCCATATGTCTGATACCAGTCTATAAATACCTCTTCAGACTCATGCAATACATGCAATGACGTTGAATGCAGGGAGATCACAGGCTATTGGATGGAAAGTCTTGTGGATCTAGTGATGGTGGAAGCATGTCAGCACTGGCATGGATCTTCGCACGGCTCCTCCAGCTCCAGGTCTCTGGCTCCATCAGCGTAGCTCCATGTGGTTTGTCTACAGGAATGCATCACAGCAAGTGTGGGTCTGGCCTCCAGTGAGCTATTTATCTCCATAGTGCCTCCCAAGGTGGTCATCAAGCTGCCACCTGATTGACAGGCTAAACTCCACCTTTCCAGTCTTAATTGTTTTAAGTTGACACCAGATTATGTTAACTACCACAGTGGCCTTACTTGGCTACTCAAGAAAGGACACTGACCAGCCTCAAGGTAGGGCCTCAAAATTTCCCAAAGCCTCACAAATTGACCAATATGTGACATCATGCTAACCAGAGAAAAGATTGAACTTGTCAGTGATTTTGTTTTGCTTGGATCCACAATCAATGTTCATGAAAATAGTAATCAAAAGAGATTAAATGCATTGCATTGGGTAAATCTGCTACATAAGATTTGTTTAAGGTGTTGAGAAAGCAAAGAAGCTACTTTGAGGGCCATAGCATTTTCAATCACCTCATATAAATGTGAAAGCTAGACATTGCATAGGGAAGACCAAAGAAAAGTTGATGCATTTGAAGTATAATGCTGCTGAAGAATATTGAAAGTATTGTGGGCTGCAAAAAAAAAAATTAGGCAGGTTGGTCTTGGCAAAAGTTCAGGCAGAATGGATCTTAGAAGAATGGATGGTGATGCTTTGTTTCACACGCTTTGGGACCAGTCCTGGAAAAGAGATCAGGCTTGGAAAAATAGAGAATCATCAAACAAAAGGAAGGTCACTAAAAATATGGATGGACACAGTGGCTGCAACAATGAGCTCAAACATTAGAACATTTTGGGAATGGCAAAGGACCAGCTGGTGCTCTGTTACGCACAAGGTCACTGTGAGCTGGAACCAACTTGAAATCGCTCAGCATTTAACAACACACTGCTTGAAACTATGTTCTTTCAGCCACCTCATATACCTGCAAATTTGCACAATGGAAAAAGAAGACAGAAATGATGCATTTAAATTATGATGCTGGCAAAAGAAATGTGAATATACCACAAATTTTCAGAGGGAACAAATGAATCTTAGAAAAGATGCAACCAAAAAGCTCCTTAGAAATAGGATGATGAGACTTCAATTGATTACTTTGGATGTATCATCAGAAAAGACCAATCACTAACAAACAATATCAGATTTGGTAGCGGTCATAAAAATCTAGAAAACCCTCAATGAGAAGGATTGATAACATAGCCAAAAAATAATGCACTCAAACATACCAGTAATCACCCAAATGGCACAAGCTTGGCTACATACATTCATTCTGCGATACCTTAGGTAATGCGCCTGGATATGGTGCAGTGGGTAGAATATGGAGCTGCTAACCATGAGGCAATGGTTTGAATCCTCCAGCTTCTCCATGGGAACAATATGCAATGCAACTGTCTGCTTCCACAAAGATGTACAACCCCAGACCCTGTGGGGCTGTTCTACTCTGTCTTAGCAGGTCACTATGAGTTGGAATGGATTCAGTAGTAGATAGTAGGCTATTTATAGGTTTCCATTAGTTATAGGTTTCCATAACTTATGTCGCTAACATAAACATATTTCACAGGCATATGTTTGGATTCTTTTTTGAAAAATAGTTCCCTAGAATTCAGTACACATCTTGTAGTTCCCAGTGTTTCACAGATACCACTTTGTGCTGTATCAGGAGCTAACAGCGCGCAATAGCCCACACATTGTATAAATCTGTCATCAATCCCCCAAACCTTTTTTGCACCAAAGTGTTTCCTCTGGTCATAAGCAGCCTTTTCTTTTCATTTTGGTGCTCATTCCATTATCATAGTTATGGATTCCTTTCGCATTTAACACGAAATTGACTTTGTAATAAAAACAAACAAACAAACAAACAAACAAAAAAAACCCTTATGGTCTATTCTGACTCATAGCAACCCTGCAGGGCACATTTGAACTTTCCCCTATGAGTTTGTGAGACTGTAAATCTTTTTTGGGGGGAAATGTCTTCTCATACCTTTAAGAGCCAGCCCTGTGCTTAGGACAGCCGTGCTAAACTGAGAGGGAGATACTGTATGTCCTGCCTCAGGCCTCCCTGCCATGGCTGAGCACAGGGGAGCAGGGACGCACAGGCAAGGACGAGGAGACTGTAAATCTTGATGGCCATAAAATGGCCCATCTTTCTTCCAAGGAGCAGCTGTGGGTTTCAAACAGCTGATTTTGAAGTTGTCAGCCCACATGTATCCGCTACGCCACCAGGGCTCCTTTTTAACTTACGTAATCATAAATTCTGTAAGAAAAATCACAAAAGACTCTTCATAATTTGTAAGAAAAAACACAAAAGAAAGACATTTCAAATCCTACATTTCAAAGTTACTTTTAAATCTTTAAGCATTCCAACTATATTTCTACCATCTCATTTCTAAATAAAACATGATGCTACTATTTTTATGTATTAATACCCTACTTTAGAATTTGCTTCCTCTTATGATAAATGAGGATTTGCTTCTCATATAGTTTTCTCTGCCCACAATGGTCCTCTCAAAAATTAAATCCATTTTCTGAAAAGTAATATATGAAAAGCATTATTATGTATGGCATAGGCTGCATTGTTCACAGCCAAAGCGAAACTACTATAGAAAAGAAAGTGGATTACTGCAGAGCCATGGGCAAGGGACTGCTACATCTTTCTCCAGCTGAGCAGTTGGTGAGTTCAAACTCCTGCCCTTTCGGTGAGTAGCCGATTTCTTAACCATTGCCCCACCTTCTATATACTGTATACATGCACACTATGATCTTCTCCAATCTCACCTTGCAATAAGAAAATAATTGCCTTGTTTTATTTATTAGCATAATTTCCATTATACTGATAAACTAAGGATTTTGTTTTGTTTGATTTTTATTGCTTTGTTTCTTAAGGTGTCTTAGACCTGCCACATGACTGCTAGGGAAGTCTTCAGTTGATGAATTTCCTTAGTTTATCTGAGTGATTTCTGAATCTCTCAGTTTCTCTTTCTTTTTTTTTTTTTTCAATTTTGCTTGAGAATGAATGTTACAGAGTTACTTTTTGAATTAAAGGATACATTGAAGGTAACCAACCTGCCTATCTATGTATATCTTTACCTTCGCCTTAATTTTACTCCTAGAATTGTTTATACAAAATGTGATTCACTTTCTCTAAGAATTTGAATGCATTAATACATTGATTTCCAACATCATGAGTTGCTGTTGAATATCTAATACTTTTCAGATATTTACTCTTCATGAGGGCTGAAAACTGCAAGGTCAGCAGTTCAAAACTGATATAGTTAGTTTACTGTGCCAGTCTGGCCGGTAACACACATGGGGTTAATTGAAGGGCAGAAAAATAAATGGCTTGGTGAGCTTTGCCTTTGGAGTTCTCGGGTCTCTTGCTTTGTGATAGTTGGACCAGGGTGCAGCTGCCTCAGCCAGTTCTCTGCTTCATCTGGCAAGGCTCACTTCCTGCAAGATATCCCTGAGGAGAAGCCACATGGACCTACCCCGATGCAGCCCTGGGTGCTGGAGCACCCGTGTGGAGACCCCTGCCAGCACTGAGCTGCTTACACGTTCACTGACTCGGTTTTCCTCCTGCACTCGGTGTCATTGTGTGTGTTTTGTGAGATGGAGGAGGACTTTGTGGATTGGTGTCAGCCATATGGGTTAATGTTGGACTTGTGAGCTTGGGCAGCACTGGGTTGGGGTGCTTTCTTGATGCACACTTACCCTTTATGTAAAACTCACTCTTACACATATGAGTTTCTGTGGATTTGTTTCTCTAACGTACCCAGAGTAACACAAAAACCATAAGCTGCCTGTTGGCAGAAAAAGGAGGCTCTCTACCCCTGTAAAGATTTACAGTTTTGTAAGCCCGCAGGGGCAGTGCTTTTCTGTCCCAGAGGGTTGGAATTAGAAGAGACTTGACAGTGAATATGGGTGATAACTTTAATTTATCTCACTTGGAAAACTTTCAGTATCCTCTCTGTAGTTTCACCTTCTGAAACTTAACCCAGTTAATTTTTCAGTGTTCAACTTTTATCATTATGAGCCTGTTAGTGTCATGTTATCAAATTTCAATCACTGTCATAGTTTATAAGGTTATTTTGAGCATTACATTTAAATATTGTAGAAGTAATCATTTAGCTGCTGACCCAGAAGTGGGTAGTCCAAAGCCACCTGCCATGGCAATCTACTTGTGGGCAAACTTCCCGCCATGGGGACAACTGTGGGGTGGTTCTGCTCCGTGCACAGGGTCAATGGGGTTGGAGTCTAGCTGTCATGGGTGGTGACAATGTTTCAACATGAGATGCAGTCTGCTTTGTTTGTTTGAATGTCTCTTTCAGAGTTCTGGTTCTTGTGTTTTTGTATGGTATGTTTTTCCTTTCTTTTTATTTTGATAGGAAAGTCTTACTTTGGGGGAAACTTTTAGAATATTTTCTTCATCTTTAGTTTTCAGAAATTGCCCAAAGATGGTGTTTTGATTCATTGTTCATTATGCTGGGGGCTGTCTGAACTCTCTAACCCTGTGATATGGTTCTTCAGGTTGACTCTACTGATTTCTTACATTATTTTCCATCTCCACTTTGTGGGTCCTAATATCTGGGTTACATAATTTACTTATATTTTTATACTCCTTTTAAATTTCATATAAGCGCTCTAATTTTTTCCTCCTTAATCTTATTCTAGTTGTTTTAGGAAGTGAATAATCTTCTGTTTTCTCCTTAAGGGTGGTACTGAATTATAGGTTTGAAGGTTCCTCCTGTTCTCTTGCAGATGCATTGAAATGCAAAGGGTCTCATTGAAGATGGCTTTAAAAGGTGGAGGTTCATAGTTGTCTGTGCAGGGCTCAAGGAAAATGTTGAGACACTGATGATGGCTGTCAGCACCATCAGGCACAAGAAGGTAGAAGTAGTACTACAGAGAACTTTGAAGAGAAAAGAAAAGAGCTCAAAGTCAATTCTGACTCATAGCTACCTTATATAGAACAGTAGAAGCTATAAATCTTCAAGGGAGTAGATAGCTCATATTTCCCTGGATGGACTGTAGGTTAGAACCTCATACTTCTCAGCGGTATGAATCGTACTCAACAATCTCCATGCCCCAAAGGAGCTTTGCCATTGGAGAACCCAAACCACTGCCCAGCTCATGGTGTGATACAGATGATGAAGGTCTAATCGCCTTTGTTGTGTGGGTGAGTGGGAATACTTGGTTACAAAGTATGAGAAGGGGAACGAAGTATCCACTTGCACTCAGCATGCACTTCAAAACAATGGCATATGGTCATCATAATCAACCACCTCTGCCTTCTCTATGGCCGCGAGTCAGGGGTCAGGCATGCCTCCACGTTCCATCCTTCTTTACCTATTCTGATACCAGCCATTCCTACCACACCCCTCAACATCTCTGCTGGGCCCAATATTTCACTGCAATGGCCACAGAGAAGACATCGACAATATTCATAATTAAGGGGGCTTACTAGTGAAGTGATGGGAGAAAGATGAGACTTCCTTCTCCTGTTAATGTCGACAGTCTCAGAAACGCACAGGGGTGGTTCCCCCTCTCCCATCCAGTTGCAATGTGTCAAAGTGGACTCGATGGCAGTGGGGTTGGGGTTTTATTAGGTAAGTTAATAAGTTCTCACAAATCACCATCACGCGTTTCTATGTCTTCAGATCATAGAAGCAGCTCTCCTCAGCCAGCAACCAAGTCTCTCTCTCTCTGGTGCTCAGCTCTTAGCTCTGGAGTCCCTTGGTCTCTTCCTCCATGGATCAGGAAGAGCCCCGATCCTGTTGCTGTACCTCACAGTGCTTTCATCTTGGGGTGTCTCCTCTTGCTCTGTGCTGTCGTCCCTGTACATAGTCTCTTGTGCCTCTGGTCTCAGCCTCCACCATTTTAAACGGAAATCTGGAACGTGTTCTTTTAATTGTCCTGGCCCCTTTTCTGTGTGCTAGAGATAGCTCTGATACACAGAACACTGGCTTTAATGGAGGTATGTTTTTTGTCTTTTAGCAGAACACACCCACAAGGAAACCAAAGGTGGGACTTGGTTCCAACCCTCTACTAATGTCAGAACTTAATTCCACACTAATATTGTCCATTAGTATAACAGAGAACTCCCTCCTAATGGGATTAAAATCACAGACATGTAGTCCAGAGTTATATGACATAAGTAATTGTGCCTACAAGGACCATAATAATTGACTACATCTCAACCTGTGGTTTGTGTCCCTGCTATTCTCTTATATTCTGCAACCTACAGCCTTAAAGAATTCTGTGGAAGAAATTGACTTGCTTCTACTATCCTCCTGTGAAGGCACTTTTCTGTTTGAAGGCAGAAGGTAGATAGAAAAGGGTTAACGGGTTCTTCCTCCAAAAGCATCCCTTCCATTGATATATCTTCTTATATTTGTATTCCTTTGTGAGTTAATATATTGCGTTATTTAAAGAAAATGAAGAGGAAATTTAAGATAATCACCAATGTTGATACTTCATCTTTAACTAGAACTACTAACAAAATTTACTTTAACAATAGAATCCAGGTGTGATGTAGTAGTTAATACTATTTCCTACCTGGAGAACATAACATCTACTAAAGGGGTGAATGTTCTGAGGCTCTTTATAAGATATGAAATAAGAAAGAAAAAATAAAAGTGAGATTAAGACAAGCTGTCAACAATTTATCTTATTTTCATGTCAAACACACCATCATTAAGCTCCCCTAACCCAGAACCCTACTTCCTTTCTCCAGTGCTTGACTTCTTTTGTCTATTTATTTAGGCTACTCTACATCTCCAGCAACTCAAACATTTACCAAACAAAATTATGGAGACACAGTATTTGGTGCATAAATATCGACACATATCTTTTAATACTTTCTCAGCCGAATTTTTCCTAGTCCCTCATTTTCATTAATTTCATTAATGCTTAGGTAATACTTCCTTTAAATATGTGATTTGAACTATCTCTTTCCAACATTATTTATGCTTATTGTGTTTATTGAAAGATAATCTATTTTATACTCTTATGGAAATTAGCTCAAATATTATTGCTTGCTAAATATACCTACACATAAAAATTATACTGGCTATTACAAAATCAGATCTACTTTTTTCAGTATATGTATC